ATTCTATTAGAATAACTAAATTTAAAAAAATTAATTTTTATCAAATTTAATATAAAATCCCGCTAGAACAAGGTTCCATGTCATCAAATCCCTGAATTGACCTCTTAAATTACCTTAAGTTTAATAACACTAGTGAAAAACTATACCAAACTAGATATAAAAGAGTAATTGAATTTGAGCTTTTAATATAATTTAGTATTTGGAAGTGTAGTAATTTTTTTAATATTTTTTAAAAGTTTATTTTACTCGAAAAAATATTAAATTAATTTTTATTAATATTTTTTAGTTTTAATATGTTAATATGAAAAATTAAAAAAAAATTAAAAAAAATATTAATATATTTTTAAATAAAAAACACTTAAAAAAAAATATACCCCACGTTACTGACCATCCAAGAAATTTAAAGCTATAGTCACGCTATCAGAAACCCCGGTCCATCTCAGGCCTGCTCGAAGTTCCCAATAACGCAAGTACAATTTGAATGTCAAACACAACTGGGGCTGTTGACTTGAAGCCGATAATGGTAAGACGGCCGTCCGATCAAATGATTAATCAGAGTATGAGGCATGCTAGGAATCCAGGTGGCAAATTACTAGACGTCAATTGTACCATCCCTAAAGATCACACAACAAAGAACCCTAGCCATATCGATTCATATTTTGATGTTGCTCTCTTTGACAAATTTTATTATGTCGGCGCCCCATTAGTTTATCTCCTTTATCTCTCATGGTCTGGTCTTCTTATATTGATAGTTGTTAATGTACTTCCAATTCTATATTAAAATTATAAAATATTATATATATATATATATATAATGAATTTTGATATGAATTAGTAATTAATAAGTAAAAATATAAATAATTTATAAAAAAATATCATATTATAATTATAATGTAATAATTATAATGGTAGACATGACAATGATACGGAGATGATAATGATATAAAAAATTGATATACAAATAATTTGTTATTCTTTAGGAAGAAAACTCGTTATAATTTTCTATTTTTATTCTCACCTTTTCTAATGGAATTGAAATCATATTTAATTTTTATTATCATTCCCACTCTTAATTCCATTCTTATAAAGTGAAAATAAAATTTTCATTCCCATTTCTTATTACTAAAAGAAACACCTAAAAATTTAGTTTAATAGTTATGTTTCATTCTTTAAATCTTTGGATTTAAATTTAAGGCTAGTATTTAGGGTGAAGGATGAATTTTGACCTTATTTTTATTTTTGTAAATAAGCTTATTGTTACAAACTTTAATAAAAATCAAACCCATGATCTCCTAGAAAGAAATAAAAAACTATTATCACTTGAGCTAGAATTTCATAATTTATTGGCTATACTAGCTATTTCACTTGCGTTTCATCTTGAATTGGATAAAATTTTCTTTTAACACAAAAAATAAATATGATGGCATTTTATGCGTGTTTTTTAACATAAAAATCTCGAGTATAAATTTAAAAGTTTATTCATACGGTTAATTAAGTAAATTGGTAATTATTTATGCACTCGAAAAAAATTATAAAGCTCGGTTTCTAACCAATTGAAATTAACCATTCAAATTCGTGATCAGAGTCATGGAATTAATCAGGTTCAACAAATTATTTTTTAATAAATTTTTATTTAATTACTGATAAAAAAATAAACACTCAAAAAATTAAAAACTAACTAAATATTAGAGTGTTTGTCTGAAGTCATGATAAACTTAAAAACATCAAACCAAAATAAAATTACATTATCTGATTAAAAATTAATAAAATATTAAATGATGAAATTTAAAAAAAAATAAAATTAAAAAATCAATGAAGATCTCATTGAAAAAAAAAAACAAAATTAAAAAATCAATGAAGATCTCATTGTGAAGGATCAAATTGAAAAAAAAATCTAATAAAAAAAGAAAGCTAAAAAGGTCCACACATATGAACTCGGGGTAACCCACATGTTTGACCATGTTAATGTTTTTAGAAGAGCTAAGTTAAACAAATAATAAAAAATAAAAATACTCTAGATAACCAAAGATATTTTCAAAATCAACAAGAAATTCTATAGAAAGTAGATAAAAAATAATAGAATTCAATTCCTAATTAAATAAATATTGAACAATAAAACTGAAAAAACATAAGTTAAAAATAAAAAGCTAAATAAACTTAAGCTAATATGTTAAATTTAAATTAATATTTTAAATTTATAATTCGTGAAATGTAGATCAAGTTAAATAAAGAAGTTTAATTTTTAATTAATTTAATATTAAAATATTGCTATATTCCTGATTTTATAATTAATGAAACCTAATGAAAGAATGATATCAATTTAATTGTTTTTATCTGAGAAAAACAAAATGATTGTTATAATAATAATAATAAACAAAAAACCCACGTTCTCTAGATTTTCCGTGTAAACAAAAAACCCACGTTCTCTAGATTTTCCGTGGCTCGACATGTTTGTAGAACGTGATTGGGGGGGCCCTATGTCATATGTCTAGGCTCTTGAGAGTCTTGTGTTGTTTTCTAGGAAAATTATTAAATTAATTGTGGTATATAAGGAAAGACAAGCTTCGTTTACACCTGGAAGCAGCAGCGATGTAATTGAGTCTTTGAATAATATAGCTGTGAAATATTGTTTCGAAAACCATGCCCGCATATTAGCGTGGGGTTAATTACGACCACTCAACAGCCACCGGTAAATTGACTCTCAACTTCACCACCCAAATGGGTAGAGTCTAGGTAGTAGGCCACAAGGGGCGACAGATGATGGATCATATTTAAGGGGAGCGAAAAGGTTCCTCAAAGTAATGAAAAATAATATAAATTATATTTTAATATAAATTTTTAATATAATATTAAAATTTAAATAATTTATTTGATAAAAATTAAGTATAAAATAATATTATTTTATGTAAGTTTCAAGTTCAAATAAATTTTACTTAAAAAAATATATTAAAAAATAATATAAATTATATTTTAGAATCCAACATAATAATTTAATTTATTAAATTAAAATAATTTTTATGACACATCATTTATCACTAAAACAGAAGAAAACAAAAGAATAAAGAAGAAGCTGGAAGCAATTATGATCGAAATTTAGTTAAAGTTTTTCTTTTATTTTCATATTTTAAAATTGTTTTTTTAAATTATTTTTATTTTTATTTTTTATTTAATTCAAATTATTTTTTTATATTTTCATATTATTTTGATGTGTTGCTATTAAAACTATATTTTAAACTTTTTTAAAAATATATTATTTTAATATATTTTTAAATAAAAAATATTTTAAAAAATAATTATTAGCATAATAAAATATAGACTCGTCTCACCACTAGTAATTACATTTTTTTTTATCTCACCACTAATAATTACATTTATTTATTTTTACTATATTTCTTGAATCATTCCTGTATTCACTCACAATACAATATCAAATAAACATGAATGTTTTTATCTTTTCATTATGCTTCATGAATCACTTTTGCCTTCACATCATATATCAATGATTGTGATTCTCCTGCTTGCAATATAAAATTTATATTTCAAGCGGTTCTCACATAATATGTGAGCAGGAGTTCATTTTTTCTTATTATATGATAAAATACATTGTTAGACCAACCGAGATTAATTTTTTTAGATGAAGAACTCAATATTCTAAAACATGTCACTTTCATATTTTTTTTTTTTTAATTTTTAAGAAAAAAAGGACCTCTTTGCAAATAAGAAAAATGAGCACCTTAGGGGAGAAAATCAAATATCTCCTTTTGGAGATTTAGGGCAGCTAATTATCAACCAAACGACATTCCAGCAACACTTAAACATTGTTTTAGCTTTTAATAAATTAACTTAGGTCAACTTCTTGCAGAGGTTCTAATTAATGCATCTTTGTATAGGCACAAAAAAACCTATAGTTTATGAAAAAATATTTCAAAAAAAGAAGAAGAAAATCAAGGTAGTAGCTTTCTGAGGCACCATGGCGATGGGGAAAGAGAAAGGTGTATATTAATTATTATACTTGTTGGGTTCTTCAGGGGATTAAAATATGCACAATGCCTTGAAGTATTCCACTTTCCCCTCAATTATGTTATATATCTAAACAGAGAAATCATTCGAAATGGGAATATAATAAAAAAAGAATGGACGGGCTTCGTTCATTTGCGGAGTGAGGAAAACCACCTACCATGGAAAGCATCACTATTATTTATTTTATAGAGGTGCAGTCAAATAAGTCACTCGTAGAGTATTGTCATTTGGGCAAACAGGGGAACAAATTAACTCTCAGCATTCGGCAGTTATATTTGCGAGCAACTTCCTCTGGGCTGGCTAATCCACCGAATTTGGTGCGGGCAGATCCACCGAATGCCCTCTTCTTGGCCATCATCTCCGATGCCGAAAAGGTCGTTTTTATGAGATGATTTACACTTCATCACTCTCTAGCATGGCCACAAACATCACATATTAGAGGGGATTGTTGCTGCTGAAATGCCAATAAAGAATATGACAACGTTGGCTTTGGGACTCTGAAGGCATGGATGATGGGTTGGCATAGGTAAAGGAGAGGAACACAGGTCAAAATATCATGTAATGTTCTGCTTGTTCCCGTCTGCGATCCAAGTGTTTCTTTTTTTTTAAACTGCGGATAAAAGTTGAAAGATAACTTACATGGCACAGACAACCTTGTATTATTAGTTTCAGTTACAGGATGGTGTTTCATACCATGTTATAAAGTATGTCGCGTTTAGATGTAAGATTCAATTTATATTATACACAAAAAAAATACAAGGGTAATAATTCTGTGTCTAAAACATTTTACTGTATCACGACGAGATCCTGTCAGTCGTAAATGGTGGCATAATACCCTGTCTTTTACTCGCACAAGCAAGAATAAATAAATAAGAAGGGAAGGTGGTTGAGAGGTAGAAAAAGAAAGATGGCATGCACCCGCTTTACATAGCGTATCTTCCCCCACAGGACTATTTACTTACTTGTGTTTTTTTCTTCTTCTCTCTCTCTCTCCAGCAAAAACAACTCCTCCTCGAATCTCCTTTCACTGCACAGCTTTGGGGTCCTGAAAACTAAAGGAGGACCCATTCATCCTCACTCATCATATTAAAAACTGACCTATAGTCCTGCACTGCACAGATAGAGAGAGAGAGAGAGAGAGAGAGAGAGAGAGAGAGAGACTAATAATAATAATAATATCTCTCTATCTAATTTTTAGACATATGTAGAGAAGAGAAGAGAAGAGCAGAGAAGAGAAGAGCAGAGCATGTCTATTTATCCATGGATTCGCTTGTTGTGGTAGAATTTCCAAGTGTCCTTTTCTTGGGTATCTTTGCTTCCCTTCCGTTCACTTTCTCTCCCTATCACATAACAAATACACAGTTTTTTTTTTTTCTTTTATATGGGTTTGTTTTATTTTTATTTGTTATATATACAAAGTTTCTGTTTCTCGTTTTCTGTGTATATCTAGCTAGTGTTGTTTTATGTGATGGTTAGGGATTTTCTCTCTTTTGCAGGTTGGGGTTACGTTGGTAATGTGATGTGCTAAGTGGGTTTTTTTTCTTTGATAATTCTACAATGGATTCGTCTTTTGAGGGTAAGTTTTATTGTGTTTTGATTTAATTGTGTTGGATTTCATTCTTTGTTGAGGTTTTGGTTTGGATTTGGGAAGATTTGTGATGTGAGCCATTAAATGTTTCTCTTGTCTGTTGTTTTTCATGGGCTAAAGTCAGAATCTTACTATGGATTTGTAATCTGCATGGTAATTAATTTGGAAAAAAAACTACCTTTTGTTTTATGATTTGGGTGTCGATTAGTGTTTCTTTTCTTGGGTTTTCTATATGTGACGAAAAAAATTACAGCTTTATGACGCTGGTTAAGAGTAGTGGTTGAACTTGTGATCACCAGTCTTTTTACTGATATTCAGTTTTATGTTTATGAAAATAGACTTTGGTGGGTGAGTTTTCAAGGCTGGTAAACTGCATTTTTGTTTTATTCTATAATGAAAGTGGTTTCTTTCTCTGCATTATGTAGAATCTGTATGCATTTATATTGAAGAAGCAAGTTTATATATTATATAATGGATTGTCATCTTTCGGGCACGCCACTGTTTGAAGTAACACTTCCAATGACTTTTGTGAAAAGCCCAGAGGCAGAGACATTTCAAAGTCAAATCAAGTTTTGTGTGATTCTATAATTCACGCGTGTGTGATTGGTGATTTTAATTAATTATATCAGAGCATTCTTTGTGAAAGTGTTTGATTATTTGTTGTAGTTGGAATGTCTCTTTAATTTCAGTCAACTACCTTGTTGTATGTTTTGATGTAGCTTATTGAAAAATGGTAACAAGTTTTTTAATAGTATCGAGAGAAAGGAAAAGAAATTTAGATCAAGCGTTTCAAATGAGTCTCCCAACTGGTTGTTATTCTAAACATGCTGACTCCAAGCTGGTTACATGTGGTTGGTTAAGCAGTCTTTCATATAAGATCATCATTTTCTCTGCTTTCTTCTGTCTTGACATATAAAGCAAATTGGTCTAAGTCATTCTAATTTACTGCAAATTTAAGATTTACATTAGTTTATAATGCAAAGCATGCTTTAATGTGTTTTTACATGCAGTTTGACATTCTACCTTTGCTCCGGTTTATTTTTTTTTAACAAATATAGCATCGTGTCTCCTTATTCTTTGATTCTTCTTTTAACCAATCTAAAGTCTGTTCTGAGACATATTGTCTTTCTATCTTTGTTTTTTTCTCCCATTAGACACAGGAAGTGCTCTTGATCCGTCAAAATGCAGTAAGTTAAGTATGAATGAAAAGAGAGAACTTGTCTATCGATTGTCAAAGCAGCCAGGTGCATCTGAAAGACTCCAGTCATGGAGCCGTCAGGAGATTCTGCAGATCCTATGTGCAGAGATGGGAAAAGAAAGAAAATATACAGGCTTGACAAAGTTGAAAATCATAGAGCACCTTTTAAAAATTGTATCTGAAAAAAAATCTGGGGAATGTGAGGCCTCACCTGACCTCGAGACCAAAATATCTGCTGCATCCATTCAGGGAGTTTCCAAAAGGCAGAGGAAAACTGATAACCCCTCTCGGGTACCTGTTTCATTGAGCTGTGTTGCAACCAACAATGGGACCAGTGATCAAGGCAATGCTGTATACTGCAAAAACTCAGCATGTAGAGCTACCTTAAGACCAGCAGACACATTTTGCAAGCGGTGTTCATGTTGTATCTGTCGTCAGTATGATGACAACAAAGATCCCAGCCTGTGGTTAATTTGCAGCTCAGAGCCTCCTTTTCAAGGTGTTGCCTGTAGCATGTCATGCCATCTTGATTGTGCCTTAAAACAGGAAAGTTCTGGAATAGGGAAAAATGGACGTCATGGTAGACTTGATGGGAGCTTTCGCTGTTTTTCTTGTGGGAAAGTTAACGATTTGCTAGGGTATTTATTCCCTCTCTTTTGTTTTTTGGCATTTTACTTTCTTTTTTTTTCCCTCGCTGTCTGGCATGTTTGCATTTGGTGGGTATGTTTCTCTTTTAAGACAGTTCATGCTGGTGTCTGGTAATTCTTGGAGTACTTTCAGCCCTATGTACTGTTTTCTCCCCTTCTTCATCATGGAATTCTGATTTTTAGACAGTTTGTGGGTATCATGACACATTTGGTAGCAAATTAAGTTGCTGTTTTTCCTTCCCTCCTGCGGAATCATAGCTCTTTCATATATTCCACATCTATTATCAGAGCTATAGAGTAAAACTATAGTTTCCACATCATGTTTAACAGACTAATTCCATAGTGTGAGACAATTACATTTTAGTTATTGGATTTGTTAAATTGGTTATCTTTCTTAATACCACCTGCTCTATCCAGCATGAACAGCCACAATAGTTCTGACAATTGTATATGGGCTATGGATAACACATTCTTCATGCAACCTGAGAATTATGTCTGCCATAAATTTAGTGCAAGTAGCAAATGTTCGACCAGATGTACTGCTTGTCTTGGAAAATCACAGTATATAACAATTCCTGATATGTCATGTCCTTTGCAATATCTGATTTTGAATGGCACATGGTATTGACACAAACATAAATTTTGAATTTGAAAGATAGAGTTTTGATTAATTGTCTTGGTCTCTTGAATTTATTCAGATGCTGGAGAAAACAATTGATGATGGCTAAAGATACCAGGAGGGTGGACATTCTTTGCTATCGTGTGTCCTTGAGTCAGAAACTTCTGAATGGGACTGAAAAGTATCAGAAGCTTCTTGAGATTGTTGATGTAGCTGCAACGAAACTTGAGGCTGAAGTGGGTCCTTTAATCGGTTTACCTGTAAAGATGGGTAGAGGTATTGTTAACAGGCTTTCTTCAGGATCAGAGGTTCAGAAACTCTGCGCTTTTGCTTTGGAGTCACTGGACAAAATGCTTTCAAACACCATTTCACATCCATTGCCTGATCCGAAGATGCAAGGTAACCATTGGCTTTTGTGTTTTCTTGTCGTGACATAAGGATTTCACCGAGAAAGAGCAAAATTAGTTCAACTGGAGAATTAAGCAACCATCTCTGAAACACAATGCATTAGAGAACATTGCCAAGGATCACATGTCATCGAACACATAAAAAACGAGCACATTCCAAAGACTCTGCATGTGTTACATGAAGCATAATATATTTACTTGCTGCAAAAAGTTAGATTTTTATCCAAGGACTGGTAACTCCAGAATGCATCATGGAAACATGGGCACTTTTGATCATGGAAAGTTAGGTCGTTGCTGTTGGAAATATTTTCTGTTGTCCATAATGCTGTTTTTTCGAGGTATTGACCCTTAGAGAAGCATTAATAACCTTTAGGTGTTCTCATGTCTCTACAGATTCAAACATGATTGCTCCAATCACAGTTAACTTTGAAGATGTACATTCGACTTCCCTTGCCTTGGTTTTGGGTTATGAAGATTCTTCGGCTGATGATATTGTTGGTTATACTTTGTGGCATCGTAAAGGTCATGATCTGGATTATCCAGCAGAACCTACTTGCAGACTGTTCTTGCCAAATACAAGATATGTTGTCATGGGTCTATCTCCAGCCACAGAGTATCATTTTAAAGTTGTTCCGTTCAATGGTGTAAGAGAATTGGGTACCTGTGAAGTTCAGTGCTCAACCGGAATGACTCAGGAAGAAGTCCTAAACTATTCAATAGTAGAAAGAAGTCAAAGCCCAAATACCAATTGTAGCAGCCTCTCTAATCCGTCTTCTGTGGAGGATGAAACAAATAACAATCCACCATGCAATGATCAGATTGTCAATCGAGCAGACAATTATCGTACTTGTTTGAAGGACAGTGATAAAATTGTTTCTACCAACAAGTCCAATGGTGCTTTAAATTTCTCTGGCACCCTTGCAGATGCAATTCCCTTGCTAGATGAGGAACATGCCACACAGGTGGTAAGCTCCAAGCTCAATTCTGATATGCAAATGCTTGATAAGAAGCGCTTGATAGAGGGTCAAATCATTGAGTTAATTACCGATAATGGGTCAGATGCCCCTGTCCAGACTGCCATGGAATGCATGCCATTTGTGAGCAACTCTGAAGCTAGCTTGCCCATTACTCCCTGCAAACTGGAAATGCACAAGGATGGGCAAGGAAGAAATGGAAGATTTAAATCCAGTGACAAAGACATAGTAAATGGGTCTGGAAAAGGAGAGGAGCCCCAAGATGGCTGCACTTCAAAGAAGAGAAGTGGGGAAAGGCGAGACGAGGAGTGCATGGCAAATGGTAATTCAGATAGGGACTTTGAGTATTACGTGAAGATAATCAGATGGTTAGAGTGTGAGGGACATATCGAGAAGAATTTCCGGCAGAAATTCTTGACTTGGTATGGCTTTAGGGCGACAGAGCAAGAGGTAAGGGTTGTGAAGACATTCGTTGATACCTTTATTGAAGATCCTGCTTCTCTAGCAGAACAAATCGTGGACACCTTTTCGGAATGTATTTCCAGCAGGAGATCATCAGTTGTGCCATCTGGGTTCTGCATGAAGCTCTGGCATTGACAAATCCTATTATGGTTACTTTGACTAGATCAAATTAAATAGCCCTTGTGCACAAACCCGCCAAGGGACTGTGTGGCAGTAATTCTTTAATTAGATCCTATTAAAATTCTTCATTCAGACTATCATCATTCACATGTATTATCAGTATTTGTCATTCTTATGTTGCAAGAATGTCTGGATTCGTTTACTTTTATAATACAGCATCCATCTCATTCAATAGAACAGTACTATAAGCAGACATATTGATAAAGAGCATGGCAATGGAACCAGATGGGGCTACAAGGTGCTCTTTGCAAGCATGGAGTATATTGGTCCATGGTGATGTTCTAGGAGGCTTTCGATCCAACTAGGTCCTCAACATAGTTCAAAAACTTGTTCTGAATGATATGGCCTGTTATAATTCCCCTACAGGCATATATGACTTGATTGTCGTTCTGCTGGTGTTGGGTGATGCATTTTTGTGTAAAGATTGATATATTTCTTTACATGCTGAGGCCTGAGCTTAATAATGAATAGCATGCTAAACCATCCAGTTTCACCTGTAACTTCTGGATCTTAAAGCCAGACCATAGGGTTGCAGAGTAAGCTGACAGTCTCTTATTATTGGATGGTCTGTGCTGTTTTGATGGTTTACTGTGCAGCACCATTGGTGTCCTTTTTGCCTCAATTTTATAAGCAGTAATGACATGAAAGAAAACTCTTTTTCTTGGCGTACAGGAAACTCTTGTGATACCTCTTGGTGTCTCACTACCTGCCGTATTGAATATTCAGACCCGTAGGGTTACTCTGATGTCCTCAAGTGGGGTAGCCGAAACTCAGTGGAACCATGAGCTAGTGGGTCCGAAACTATTCCCTGATGCCACGTGTGTATCTACCGCAACAAGAAGGTAAAAGGAACCTTTGCTGTGCTGTTAGTCTCTCTCTCTCTCTCTCTCTCTCTCTATCTTCGAATCTTTTCTAGGCAAAAAGTTTCGAGAGAATGTCTGCCGGAATCTTTGCAGCTCCGGCTGTGGCTGGTTCTGGTTACCATGGCTTAAAAGCACACCCCACAAACAAGTTGTTTTCTACCATGGATTTTGTTGCATGGAGCCGCAAAACCGTGGTCCAATGGTTCTAACTCCTTGCATGAAGGTAATATGATTGAACATGTATGTCATCAAATACTGCTGAATTAAATCTCTTGTGGTCTTTGTTTCCTACTTACATGCAATACTTGTTAATCAAATAGAAATGGAATCCAATCAACAAGAAGAAATTAATTTGAGGCTCTGTCTTACCTGACTCCTCTTTCTGATGATTCAATTGCGAAGGAGATTGATTACATGATGAAGAAAGGATGGATCCCTTGCCTTGAATTTGATGATGTAAGATAAAGTATAGATTCCATCTACATGCATCATAGACAGCCAAAGATTGACTTTTTCTTCTCAAATTGTATTTAATTTGTGTACTAGTAGGGGAGACAGTCTTTGATCTAGCCTCTATATTTAGCTAATTTAACTTTGTTCAATGACATTAGGCGGGGAGCATACATCGGGAGCACAGCAGGATACTACGATGGAAGGTGCTGGACATTGTGGAAGCCCCTATGTTTGGATGCACCGTCTCCTCTCAAGTCCTCCATGAAATCGATGGGTGCAAAATGGCATATCCAAATGCTTGCATCCGTTGCCTGGCATTTGACAACAAGCACCAGGTCCATTGCATGGCTCTTGTCATTCAAAAACCTAGCATCTAAAGCAATAGTTTGTGTCAGTCTCATCAAAAAATTTCTGTTGTTTCTCACTCTTGAGCATTCATACCATTTTCATGATGCTCCAGTACTCCGATTTCACATACCATGTATTTGTAAGCCCCCACTAGCCTAGCTGTGAGATCTTGAATTAAGATTTTGCTCTCTTGGTGTTTGGGCTAGAAATGGTAAAAATATTGGGTACTGGATCGAATTGAACGGGGGAGTGGGGTAGTTAATGTACATGACGATTTGGGAACTCGCCTACCTGATTGGCAACGGAGTGATGTCCTTTGTAGTTGGGGGTGATTAGGGGTGATTAGCAGACCATCCCTTCAGTTGTCTTGAGATATAAACCTGATATCGTCAAACAGTGGATCGATCCTCCTCCTTCTGTACTGTACTCTTTGGTTGCCAGATTTCGTCAAACAGTGGATCGATCGTCTTTCCTCTGTGCTCTTTATTTGCCATATTACAGGAGATCTTCCCTGCAGTAGGGTGATCTTAAAGCCGAGAACCAAGTGCAGTTTTGAGTCTTTAGATGTACAGAACCGAAATTCAGCACATTTGAGAGGTAGATAGAGCACTCATTATGTTTGTTTTTGCTCAATTGCAAATGAGACATCGGTCTCTCATTGTTGCAGAATAATAAACCTGACAATTGTGGGTATACGTGACTCGACAAAACACAACACAATCTAATGTCAGCGCAGGAGCACATGGGAACACAAACTAAAGATTGAGACTAATCTTGCTTAACTGCCCATCTGGACACAAATTGATTCTAAGACTGTCAGAATAATTATTCAGTGGTCGTAAATACCATGATGGAAGAATGCAGTCATCAATTCGTATGAGCATCTATGACACAAAAATGAGTCTAGGCGCCAAACCCTCACCCGTGTGGCACTTGGGGCCTTTGGTTCAATACCAATCTTCATGCTCATAAAATACTACCCATTCCCTAGCCAAGAAAATGACAAAAAATGGTAAAATGATTAGAAAAGAAATATCCATCACTAATGTACTCCATTCATTAGAGTGCTGACCTGCAATTTCTCTCAGTAGAAAACCATCACACAAACAAAAAGAATTACCAGCCTCAACAAGTCACTATGCATTAACATGATTAACATGCATTCATTAAAACAGGCCTCGGCATGCATTAATAACACCTCATTCGCATCAATGGAGAGAAAATACACTTGTTTCTTTCTTCTTCTTTTTTCTCTCTTTCTTATATATTTATTTTTGGGGGGGATGAATAAAGTGACAAACACTCATTCATGGGCATAATCAAAATTAAACATTCAGGTACAGTTATGCAACAAGAGAATAACAAGACCTGGGATCAGCATATGAGAAAGATGGCTCAAGTTGGGCTGAGACAGATATGAGCCAAGGCCAAGGAGAAACCACGATTGCTCGAGCTTGCAGCAGGTACTGCACTGGAAAATAGAGCAGATGGTATTCAGATAAAATACTCATGTGGCTGTCTTCTATGATGATAAGTTGCAGATTAAAAACCACCATACATTTCATCCACACCATTAGCGCTTAAAATCTAACCGCCACATATACAATACGAACATGACTCTTGTCTTCAAAGTAGGACAATTGCAGGTCACTTCTTTTCATTCCAGCATACTACATCAAAATGGAACTTAATGTCTTATGGATAAGAAACATCCAATCAAAAATGTTATATTGATGCTATGCTCTAAGAGAAGAGAAAGCTCTCCTCTTATTTTCACTTTGTTTTCAGAGAGAGAAGAGGAAGTTCGATAACTGAGGCAAAACCTATTCACAAACTATATACACCCACAACAAAATTTCATTCTATATTCTGAAAATTGTTTCATTATTATCTACTACAATAAATTGAACTTCAATCTAGATTTCTCCTATTGAAATCCCATTTATTTACCAATGCATGGAGCAATTTGAATTTGAATCAATCTTTCTTAATCAAGTCTACATAAACAAATCAATAACAAACTGCACTCAATCAAGGCCAGTTTAGGTTTTGTTTTCCTACCTGGTATTGTCGCTTTGAAGTTGTACGCAGCCATTGCACCAAAAGCTTTAGTGGAAAGAAACAAGATGTACACCACCCATCATTAAGACGTTCCTCTTAAGATATTCAAATATCTCAATGCAACCTTAAATAAACAAGTACGAACAGTCATTCCAAGAACCTGAGGAAGAATAGCAGGCACAAGCACTCAAGCAGTTCACATTACCAAGAAACTCTCCACTATCCTCACATTATCATGGTCCAATTTTCATATTCCTAGCCATGTAGAAAAGACTTAAATGCAGAACATCCATCCTAGCAAACCAAACAAATCCAAACTTGTTTTATGGTCATCAAATTCAAGACTAACTTTAATACGTGTATTTAATACTTGTAGGCATGGCGGTATGTTCTCATCTCCTATACCAACATCAAACAATACGTGTATTTAATACTTCAAGTTTCATAAATAGGTAGGAATTACTACATTATCTAATCCAGGTTAAAAAAGAAGAAGCAAGCAACCAGCACAAAATCCCTCCTACATAACCTCTAAAACAGAGACAAAAGAGCAGAATGATTTGTATCAATTACACAAAGAGAATTTGTAGAGGAGAAAGAAAAAGATCTAAGAGAAAAGATTTATTTTCATTCATAACATCCCTATCTCAATCTCAATTGTATAGCATTAGCTTTTATAAGTTTTAGCTTGAAGAGAATTACGAGTAGATAACAAATGAATAACAACATCTACTACTTTAACATAAAAATAGAAATATGCTCTACTATGTGATCATGGAATTGCTTACATGATCATGAGCACTCATAAATTCCCAACTTATCAGGAAACAATTTAAAACAACAAAACTAATAACTGTAAATATTCACCATAACCCACGGCAAGGTCTTGGTTTTCTTTCCCCCATGTAGCATGTATGGCACGATTCTAGCCATATCATTCCTTCCTGCTTGAATAATCCTTGTCCGTAAGAATAAACTCAGGATATAAACGTGAAAAGTGCCATTGAATCTCCCAGGTAGCATCTTCGACTGGAGTGTTCAACCACTTAACTAGGATCTCTGTTCTCGGGCGATACCAGCCTTTTTAAATGATACATTTGTCAAGTATGACCTCTAGTTGAAGAAGCAGTGCAGAAGCTTTTAAAACAGGAGGAAGAATTACAGAGGCTGGAGGTGTAGTTCTCACATGTCACTTAAAAAGCCTAACAAGGAACACATCATGGATCAAAGAACTAATAGACAATTCTAACCAATAAGCAACTGCACTAATCCTAACTAACACTTGATAGGGCAAAAAATAACAAGGGGATAACTTGAAACAACGTTGAAAAACGATTGAATTTTGATGGTATGGTTGAAGCTTCAACTAAATGCAATCCTCGACATTAAAAATCACTTCCTTTCGATTTTGATCCACCTAAATTTTCATTCTATCCCTTGCACATTCAA